CACCACCCCAAGTTGGAGGGGGAGGGGGTCCTCCTCTTCCTCTTCCACCTCCTCCTCCTCGTCCTCCTCCTCCGTCTCCTTCCCCCCTCCAGCTTAGGGTGGTGGTGCTGGTGGTGGAAAACAGGCCAATCAAGGCCTACATTCGTGTCCGCGAGGGCAACTTCACCCTGAGCGGGCTTGTCGGGTTCGACATGCACGAGAAGACCGTCGGGATAGTCAGCACTGGCAAGATTGGCACGATTGCCGCGCAGTGTTTCAAGGGCTTCGGCATGAAGGTGCTCGGCTACGACATGTACCCGAACGATCATTTCAAGGAGATCGGCGAGTATGTGACGATGGACGAATTGTTGGCACGGGCGGACGTCATTAGTCTGCACACGCCGCTGATGCCAGCTACGCATCACATGATCAACAAGGAGGTGATCGCCAAGATGAAGGACGGCGTTATCCTCATCAACTGCTCGCGCGGCGGCCTGGTGGACACTCATGCCCTCGTCGACGGCCTCCTGGAAGGGAAGATCGGAGGAGCTGGGCTGGACGTGTACGAGGATGAGGATAAGCTCTTCTTCCAGAATTTTGTGTCGCTGGACACGAAGGACCGGATGGAAAGATGGGACAAGACCTTCGCCATGCTCCGGTCCCTGCCGAATGTCATCATAACCCCGCACACCGCCTTCCTCACCAAGGAGGCCCTCGAGAACATCTGCAGCACCACCATCCAAAACATCGAAGAGTTCCTGGAGGGCAAGGCGTTGACCAACGGCGTGAAGGTCTGAGGCGAGCGCCAGCGCTCGCCAGCGGCAGGGGGGAGACGGAGGAGGGGGAGGAGGAATTGAGGAGGGGTAGGAGGGGGTGGAGTGGGAAGAGGAGTTGAAGAGGAATTGAGGAGGAAAAGGAGGAGTTGAGGAGGAAGAGGAGGGATGGAGGAGGGGGAGGAGGAGTTGAGGAGGAAGAGCAGGAGGTCGCCAGCGGCGCCCGTGCCGACGGGTGCTGGGGGGGGAGGCTTCTTAGAAGCACCCCTGCTTCTTAAGAAGGTGTGGGCCTCATCTGCAGATGTAAGGCCGGCGCCTTCTAAGACGCAGGCTCCTTCTAAGAAGCCTTTCCCCCTCCCTCTACCCCCTTGCGCGCGCCGCCAGCTCTGAGCGGGAACGCTACGGTCAAGTCGGGCATGTCCCTCTACAGGAGGAATATCCGAGAATAGCGAAGCCATAGTTTGGGGACGATCTTTATTTTAGTTTTCGGCTAATTCTATTTTTTACTATTTTGATTCTTCCCTCAAAACCCGCCTGTAGGAGAACATGCCCGACCTAACGTTGCGGGGGGACCGGTTCTTCACGGGAGGGTCTCGTCACGGAGTGGCCGGATCACGCCGCAGCCGCCCCTCGGCCCCCCGCTCGCGCCCTGAGCGGCGATGCCCCCCCCCCCCGCTCCTCTTCATCCTCCTGCTGCTGCTGCTGCTGCGACTTCACCGCCTCCTCTCGTGTACTCTTCTCGTGTGTCGAGCGTGTTTCAGGAGGGACAGAGACACACAGACACAATTAGTCCTCGATTCCCCAGAAAATATGGGAAACATATGGGAAGTGGGGGGGAAGACAAAAACCAAGAACATATACGAAAATCCGTAAGGGCTTCACCCTGCTGCCGGCCCCTTCTCTATCAGAATGGTATACATCAGTGCTATATTGGGATGTTCGGGCGCCGTCTTGATGAGATTCGGGAACGTCATGCTAGGGCGGCTGGCGATGAGCAAAACAGATTGAGATGTTGAAGTTGTTGTTGAACGCTTTGTTGCCTTCTTGGCATTTTCCTCCAGTTGTTCACTGGAAGCGCTCTGGGAACGGCTGGGGATTGCTTCAGGCAATCTCTGGGAAGGGTATTTTTTTTCTGCTCTGGAGAAGGAGTGGCGCCTTTGGGCAGCTTCCGCGAGGTGGATTCGTAGCGTAGGGGGTGCGCTCGAATTTGGTGTAATTTGCGGGGGATCGTGGCCTCGGGGACGCGAATGGCATAATTTACAAGGGATCGTGGCCTGGGGGGCGCGACAGCGGCGTAATTTACGAGGGATCGTTGCCTCGGTGGCGCGAATGTGGCGTAATTCACGCGGGATCGTGGCCTCGGGGGCGCAAATGTGGCGTAACTTACGAGGGATCGTGGCCTGGGGGTGTGAATGTGGAACCCACCGCCGAATTTTCCAGAAACGGGGGGAGGCAAAAGAATACCAGCGGAGCACAAATACAATACAGAAAATTACAGTTTTTCTGCTTTGGAGAGGGGGAGCGCCTTTTCGGCAGCCTCCGCAAGGCAGATTCGTGGCCTCGGGGGCGCGCCCGCTGCGTAATTTACGAGGGATCGTGGCGTCAGGGGCGCGAATTTGTTGTAATTTACAAAGGGTCGTGGCCTCGGGGGCGCGAAAATTATGTAAATTACTTGGGATCGTGGCTTCGGGGGCGCGAATGTGGTGTAAAATACTGGGGATCGTGGCCTCGAGGGCGCGAACGCAGAGTGATTTAGAGGGATCGTGGCCTCGGAGACGCAAATGTGGTGTAAATTTCGAAGGATCGTGGCCTCGGAGACGCGAATGTGGCCTAATTTACTAGGGATCGTGGCCTCGGGGGCGCGAATACAGCGTGATTTGCCAGGGATTCTGGCTTCGGGGGCACGAAACTCTTGTATTTTTACGTGTCCCACGCCCCCCCAAAAAATTGAGAGAACCCTCCCGGGGGACGCTAACCAGGGCCTTTTTCGGCTCCCCCCTTCGCGCGGACAGTATAAATTTGCAGTAGGAAGTAGAAAGCAATATTGTAACAATGGAAACTGGAAACTGGGACTGGTGCAGGGAGCAGCAACCTTAATCCTCGCAGCTTGATGGCCCCGCAAGGGGACCGGCGGATATGGGGAGTCCGGTTATTTATGTATATTCGTTTGTGTGTCTCAGGGCCCCTTCAGTGTTCTCCTTCCCCGATGGGCGCGAGCCGTCGGTTGGCTTCCACCCGTCCGTGGAGTTGGCGGCGCGGAGCAACCGCTCCTCGAGCTGAGGCGCGTGTGTGCGGGTCTCGCCCGCGCGCCGGGGCTGTTCGCTTCTCCTCCTCCTCCACCGTCAGTCCGCCTCGTCCCTCGTGGCCGCATCTGCTTCTCGTCCCGCTCGCCCGTGGAGCAACTTTTTAGTTTGGCTTGCAAGCTCGAGATCTGCCTGGAGCGGGCACGGGGTCGGTGGGGGCGAGTCGGCATCGGCAACGCCTCGGTCAGGCAGAGCCGAGGGTCAGAAGCTGGTCCGCGAGGCCGCTGCCCTTTAGACCAGACTCCTCGTTCGCCTCCCCTCCAGACTTCCGAACTACAGTGGAGGCCCATGCCAAGAAACACCCTGCTCGCCTCCAGGGTGCCCTGGGTTTCTTGGGGTTCGATGGTTTTGCGACGGAGAGCGTGACATTCCCACACCGAAAATCGATGGACGTCCTGGGGTCTCAGGGTTGGGTTTCTTGTGGAAGGTTTCTTGTGGTCGGGCCTCCACTGTAGTTCTTCTTTCACTTCGTGGGCCCTACGGCTCTTGACCCGCCCCAAGGACTTCTTCTTCTTTGTCGCCTGCGTACCATTGATGGTGCTGAGGCCCTAGGACGGCGTCCCAGACGTTGACATCGCGAACAAAAACATCCGTCTTTGTTCTTGTTCGGAACGCCTGGAGGTCTGGTTCGGCCCATCCATTTTCTCTCAAGGCGGATCCCCGAACCCCTCTCGGGCTCCCCACCAGTCTTGGAGCCGCGTCCAGCCGTGGTCACGAGGGCCCCCCCCACGCAGAAAGAAGATGCAAGAAAGCACGTCGCGGCCTTCCTTTGTTCCGGGGGCCTCGGGAGGTGCACACATGGACCTCCAGAGATCTCCAGGGACCCCCCCGGAGGCTCAGTGAGACCCAAAGAGAAACCCGAGCTGGGAACCAAACTGACAAAAGCCTCGATCCCACTCCTCCTGTGCTCCCTCCCAGGGGATCGGCCTGGCTCGGTGCCGCCAGAGGTGACCTCTGCGACCACTTGCGAGCCCTATTCCTGCGGGTCCAGTCGACGATGAGGCATACCAGCGGCGAGCGAATGGGGTTAGTGAGAAGGAGAAGGCCTTCTCAGAAGGTGGCGGGGCTTCTCAGAAGGCCTCGCGCCTTCTGAGAGGCTTTCTGTGTCTTCGGGGAAGGCTTAAAACAACTTGTCAGAAGGCTGGAGGACTTCCGAGCTTTCTGCAAAGGCCTGCCCCCTCTCACTTCCCCCCAGGGCTGGCCGCAGACTTGCGAGCCATACCCCTGCGGGTCCAGTCGACGATGGGGTATAGGATGCCCCTGCTGGGGTTCGCCTGGCTGTAGACATCCTTTGTGAATTCTGAGCCCCAGCAAGTTTTTCTGGAGTCGAACCTGTAGGGGTAGGGTTCACGTCTGGTTGCCCATGACCTTCACCCCGAGGTGACTACAGCTTTTCCACAAATACCCCGATGGCCTCCAATTGCGTCCGCGGTGCGGTCGGTTCGGCTGCGTCACGGTCGGCTGCGTTTGGTCGGCTCGGTCTTGTTGGTTGTGGCGTCGTTGTGGCGTCGCTGCGCCCTTCTAGGCTGCTTGCGGTCTGTCGGTTTCGGTTTTGCTGTCGGTTCGGTTGCTTTTCGGTTGTGCTGTCGCCGTTAACGGCCTTGGCCTCCAGAACAGCCCTCACGAGGCCCAAAGAGCTCCAGGGGCTCCACCATGGTGCGAAAAATCGGGAGCACCTAGTGCCAGGATCACCTCCTTGCAACCTCAGATCTCCCAACACCCCCCCCAGACCCAGACAGCCGACGCGATTTTAGACTCCGCGGCTACAGCTCCCGACCCCTTCCCCAGGAGCAGATTCTCATTCCGGATCAATGTTTGATGGCCCTGGGGCCCAGAAAACGGCTTCTGGAGGCCGACATCGGGGAACAATGCTTGGATCGAAATTCGGATGTCGGGGGAAACAGTGTGCCGCTCCCCTTCACTCCTCGAATCTCCCCCTCCGCAG